AAGTTTGCCATAGGCAAGAAAGTCATGATTGTCCACATAACAGCTGCATGCATTTGAAAACTTAATTCAGTAGGCATCATAAGTAAGCATACCATCTTCTCACAACTCCTTCAACTCATCAATTAATGGTTGCATGTAAACATCGATATCTCTCCCCACTGCTTGTGGGTCCAGGGATAAACAATGACAGCTACTAAATGATTGTTTCATTACATTTCCAAGGAGCAAGTTGTAAGGCATAACAATCACAGGCCACATGCTGTACGAGTTGCTCATGTTTCCAAAGGATTGAAACCATCAGTGGTCAACCCTAACCTCACATTTCGACTCTCTTGGGAAACAAAGGATGTTGCCTATCAAAATCCTTCCATGTCTCACCATCAGTCGGGTGTCTCATATCCCATCATCTACTCATTTCTCTTTGTGCCATCTCATATCTATTGCTGTTTTCTCGACATATATAATCTCTGCAACCTTGATGTCAACGGAAGTATCTTTAAGGTCTTTGAGGAATTTTTTTACCTTTTCCATCATTCAACTTGTATTTAGACTCTGACAAATCAGATAATTCCTCTAAATTTGCATTCTCTTTCCAGAAAAGTGCACAATCATACTTGCATGCATAAATCGACACATATCCTAAGCCTAAGTCACGTAAGAATTTTTTGGCTTCATAAAGGGTCCATGGATCCTTGATCAATTACCGGTAAAAGGTCCTTAATATCCCCAACAACATGTTGAAAGACTTATTGTTCCACTTGTTCAACACCTTCACATGAAACTTAACAACAAATGATAAAAGAGAAAACTTACGACACCCAGGTACAACTCTCTTTGAGCATCATTCAACAATTTGTTAAAGTTGGGCACATCCTCTTTTTCAACATTATTAGCCACATCATCGTCATTGTTCATTGTCATTGTCATTGTCATCGTCCTCCGCATCCTCTTCATTTTCATCATCATTTATGGTAGTCCCCATGTGAACATCTTCTAACAAATTTAGGATTTCATCTTGATCTTCGCCTGTCTCTGCTTCCATTCTATCCCCAACACTTCCAAAGTCATTGTGGTTGTTATCATTCAATGCATGAGATTGATTCATGGGAACAGATTCCCCGTGATGCACCCAAGTCTTATAAGAAGGGGTGTTAATAACCCTCACCACTGCTTACCGCTAAACAATGATTACCGTTAAACTGAACTGATCATGACTGATAATTGAACTGATTAAAGTACTGAACTGACTTATTGAGAACTGGAACTGAATTGATTGAGTATGTATGTTAATCTGTAATCCATCTGTTTGACTGTTTGACTATTTGACTATCTGTTCATGTTTTAGTGTTTAACCTGCTAATTGAAGGCCTTATCGACGACCGAACCGGGAATTGATTAATTTTTCTCGATCATCACGATTTATGCGATTTTATGGTGTATCTATCTGAAATTTGATTTAGTATGAATTAAATTAGATTAAATATTGATGGATTGCAAGTTTTGGACTTAATTACCATTAGACCACTTAGTGGCCACTACTTCACACATGTTGAGCCTTGTATACACTTAAATCAAAAACATTTCACCAGCTCTTGCATTGCTTTGCCGACTTAGAGGGTGAGAGGGAGAGAATTGATTTGTCCTTGAGGGAATGGCTTAGACAACTTGGAGATTTGAAGTGTAGATTGCTAAATTGAGCTCCTAGTCTTCTAATTCAAGACCTAAGGTAGGGTAATTGCCCTCTTGTTTATGAATTGAGCTTGTTCTTACATGATTCATGTCAAATTTAGTGGATTGAGTCATGAAATAGCTTCATATGTTGAAATAGAGCATAATCCATGCATGCATGTTAGTATTGTTGGATTTTGAGTTGAGTTCATGGCAAATTGTCACATGCATGTCCATGTTTGAGTGTAGGCCATGTTTTCATCATGTTTGTGAACAATTGGCTCATTAGAGCATGTTTTGAAGCTTGAAAGTTATTTAAAGATCATGCATGTCATGTTGAGGATTGTTCTTGGAAAATGGTTTGAAATTGGATTTGAATTAAACACCTTGGCTTTGATTTCTCAAATTGAGCTTTGAACCATGTTATTCTATGTGTTTACAAATGTTTTCTGGAAATTTAGCCCAAGAGGTCGAGTTTTGAGTTGTTAAAACTTGAGTTTGAGCTTGGAGGTGCAATCTGGGTTTCCAGATTCTGCACTCCGCTCGAGCGGGGGCTAGTGATGCTCGAGCGGGGAATCCGAGCATCCAGTATCTCTGCACTGTTTTACAGTCCGCTCGAGCGGGAGGATTGGGCGCTCGAGCGGAGTCAGTGTCTCAAGCTCGAGCGGGCGTCGAGCGTCCGTCGAGCGGAGATTTCACCCATCCAGTACTTTTACAGTACGCTCGAGTGGGATATTTGACGCTCGAGCTTGTACCTTTGTTGCATGACCGCTCGAGCGGGGAAACCTGAGCTCAAGCGGGACTCTGTTTTTCTGAAAACTCCTGAAACGTTTTCTAATCACATCTTTGCATCCTCATCTCATCCTAGCATTCTTAGGTCTAGTTTAAGACATCTTATTGAGGGCATAGATATAGAACACATCGAGGCAAATTAGGGATCAAGTTATTATCTTTCCCAGCTGTGTAGCTTAGTGTGTTCAATCTGTTAACTGTGTAGGGTTGGCGACTGGGGAGACACGCTCTAGTATACTGTAGCCTGAACTCTGTGAGTAACGATTGTGTAAAGATATGTTCACAATGATTATCTTCTGAACAACTGAACTGTACTGTTTTCTGAACTGATTACTGTTAACTGAATGAATGTATGTCCTATATTCTGAACTGTATTGTGGCATCCTTAGCACCTACTGTTACTGTTACTTGACAGAAATCTCTGTCGGTTCCCTTGTTGGAACCACTACTGTTACTGACTGATGGCCATCATTACTGCTCGCGTCTTTTAAGACCTACTGTTTACTGTACTGTTATGCTAATGGGTGTACCACATATGATTGTACTGACTGAACGACTGAAATACTGTTTAAATGAACCTTTTCATACTGTAAGGACATTCATTCTTAACCTCTTTACGCATTATGTTATTCACTGGGCTTTAGCTCACTCTCATATATATATGTAGGTGTACAGGCACCAGACCGCGGCTAGGAGCGTCAGGGTTACTCCAGTTTTGTCAAGCCAACTACCGTGCCTCACTGCGAGGTTCCAAGGCTATCATGCTAAGGCTTAGGGGTGTTTTAGGACTCCCCTTTCTGTACTGTCTTGCTGTTTGTAATAACTGAATGGATTTTTATAGACTGAATGTTTACTGTACCGTTACATAGGGATTGAGTCCCTATTCTGAATGATTGTATATAATGTGTATACCTTTCCACTGAATGTAAATATGTTTGGAAAGTCTTTTTGCATGCAGACTGTCACAGCTCATTGGGCATTGTTCTTTTACTGTTTGGCTCCGCCTGCTAGGCCCTGTACTCTGTTTTACTGTACTACTGTTAAGCAGGCCTTCGGTAATCTCGGATTACTGGCCGGTTACGGTGCTAAACCCATAGGGCCGGGTTTGGGTCGTGACAAGGGGACATCCCTTTCACAACTAAATGATACTCCACAATTTTACTAGTATGTCGTTTACAATTCAAACAGTCCATACA